ACCATAGTCCCGTGCATTTCCCTCCCTTCCCCCTCACCCCCGTTTTTGGTCCCATTCCCCACTCCACCCCCACAGAATGTCTCTGGTCCATGGTTGTTCATTATTTTTGTTATTTTAAGAGAGCAAATATTTTACAACTACAATTAGCATGACTTCTTTCATACCTGCAAAAACATTCAATTGAATCACTTTATAAAATGAAAAATGTTACCTACCCCTGCAGTTGTTGCTGCTGGTGAGAGGAAAGGGGCACTCTTGGTTTGTTCCAGCCAGTGTAATCTTGGTTACACCTCAGTTTTTTAACAGAGAGAGGAGATGGCTGAGGAAGAAACCCCAAACTTCGTTTGGCAGAGGGAGTTTGGTTTGAAACATTAGTCCTATAAAAAAGAATAGATTGTGAAAAACCAAAACAATTTTGAAGGCTACTTCTTCCCTAGTAGATTTAGTGAAGTCAGTTATTAGGGGAAACAATCCTAAACTAAGAAAGTATCAGAAACAATGATCTCTGAAGGAAAATTTAAGTGTAACATAGCAAATATAGTATATGTAGTTTCAGGTATTCACTAGGAGTCTTAGAACACTTCCACAGGTCAGGAAGGACAATTATAAATAGTTTCACTTCTTTAATTCACTTTTATCCACTTAGAGGCTATCACCATAGTTTACCTGGCCTTGATGAACTGTTAGGCAATTAATTTTTTCCATTACAAATAACAAAAAAATATTCGCATCAAATACCTTTATGACTACCCTACCTTACATGCTTATCATTTTTCAAAATATTATGATTCTCCCATTAATTTTTGTAAGTATTTATTTATTTTTGCGTAGAAGAATTGGGTATAGGCCAGAGGAGCAGGAGGTAAGAGAATTTACCAGAGACAGAGTAGGGAGCAGAAGAGGTGGATTTATTGAAATGTACTACTAAGGGGAGCAGTGGGCGAGACAAGAGAAGTACGTTGTTTGTAGGTATTTAAAAAAAAATTATCTTGGGGCCCTCCCTGGTAGCGCAGCAGGTTAAAGCACAGCACTGAGAATCTAACGCCGCTTCCGCATGAGTTCCCCCCTGCCCCCGGAGGTGACCACATGGTGTAGCAGACCTCT